ATCAGTGTTGGGACTTCGGTGGTAAGAGGCTGTGATACTTACCGGATTCGAGACTTGGAGATTGTTGGGATTGATACTCGGCGGCATCACAGATTAGACACCGGTTACATTAGGACTCTGTACCTCCGACATTGGTGACGTATTGTGCACAACATTTTGATCTTGTTCGATGACATTTTGGACTACCATATCGGCGACCTACTGGATTCTATCTCGGTGACATCTGGCGCTGTCTACATCTCCCACCTCCTTCGTCTCTCCTCCCAACTTTCATCTGTGCATGGTTGTCCGGGGCCTGAACATCGTCTATGATTGGCTCAGACCCCACCATCTCACGATTGTTTGTGTGTTGAGTGATATCTGTATGAGTTCAGTCTATGTGAGTCAGTCCATTTATCAGACTCCCGCTGCATACATACTCATCCTTTATTGGTTGATTTTGGTTCTGCCCATACTTGTTGAAGTATTCACGAGTATGCAACAGTTTTGGTATCGGAGCAGACCAATCAATGGATCTGCTCACAAGGTAATTCTGATTAGGGAATAGATTGCTTATTCGATTTTCCAAATCAGTTCTGCATTACTATCAAGATTCAAAGTTGCAAATTTTTTTTTTCCCTTCGGTATTCTGTTTTAATTCGGTATTCCGTTTTAATTCGATATTCCGATTTTCAATTCGGGATTCTGTTTTAATCGGGTATTCTGTTTAATAACTTTAATTCAGTATTCCGTTTAAATTCGGTATTCTGTTTTAATTCGGTATTCTAATTTTAATTCGGTATTCTGTTTAATTCGGTATTCTGTTTTAATTCGTTATTCTGATCTCAATCTGTTTTAATTCGGCATTCTGTTTTAATTCGGTATTCTGTTTTAAATCGGTATTCTGTTTTATTTCGGTATGGGAATTAGGGTTGCCATAAAATTTCGGTTTTTTTCGTTAGATTGGTGAAATTTGCATGTTTTTGGAACCGTAAAACCAGAAATTCCGCGAAATCTCGGAAAATTAGGGTTGGAATCCAAAATTTTCGCGATTTTTTTTTTTTTTTCCTAATTGAGAATTTCTGAATACGGACTCCGGCCTTTTGAAAAATCGGACTTTGTTAGGTTGAAATCCCCGAAATTTCACGTTTTTCGAAAATTCGAGTGTTTTTCTTTTCCTGACTATCCGAAAATCTTTTTTGGCAAACTGTTCCGAATCGTTACCTCAGAACTGCAACTTCCGGGCAGTTCACTAACAACGGTGAACTCCTGGACCATAGGTGATCTCAACGGACACCTAATCAACAGACAATTTAAAAATTCGTTATTGATAATTATTAAATGTTATTGATTAATGATTCGTAATTAATTATTATTCATTATTCTTATTAATTATTGATTATTTTCGTAATTAAATTGTTTGGGGGGGGGGAAAAGTCAGTCCTTTTCTTTCCTCTTTTGATTAGGAGTCCAGTCCACATTGGGACAGGGGACTGTATGTGAATTGCTTGATCTGTTCTACCCTTGTTCCCACCCTCCCTACCCTCCCCGTATCTGTGACCATCGGGACTTCTCAAGTACCGCATCCGCTCGTGCTGATGTCGACGGAGCAGGACACCGGGGCACTGCCACGACGCAGTGCCAGGCTCGCAGTTCGTAGCCACTCTGTGGTACCTCCATGAACCAAGTATCAGCAACAGCGACTCAGCAGGTGAACGACTCCAGCGGCATCGAGTACAGCAACTGCAGTACGGGTTCCCACCGGGGCTCTTCCCGCATGTCCGGTCCAAAGGGACCATGAGCCGTTGTCAGATTACCTTCAGCGGGTACAGGCATTTACGGACGCCGTCGCCACCGCTAAAGCACAGCAGGAGGCAGCAGAGGCGGAACGTCAGCGGCTGGCCAATGAGGCGGCAGCCCAAGCTCAGCGGACTGCTGAGGCTGATGCAACGGCTCGAGGCAAACGGAATGACGCCAGCGCTGAGTCCCTGATTCAAAATGAGAATCAGTGGACAATGCTACTCCAAGGCATGATCTTTGTGCCTACGGACGCGCAGGCGGATCCGACATTGGCGGAGGCAGAAAGGAGTAACCTGGCTAACCTGATGCTGGGCATGATGAGAGCGGTAATGTGGAATAACACAATGCTGCAGGTACACCTGCTCACGGAACGACAGCTCAGACAGAAGCAGCCGGAAGATACTGCCGCCTTAACAGCTGCCGTCTGCGCCGCAGCAACACAGCAGCAGCAACAGCAACAACTGTTGAACTCCACTGTCACACGCGTCAACAGCATCGAGGCTCAGGCCTCAGCAGTGCCAGGCTGCACGACAGACACGGCGAAGCAGCTCGGGGAGCGCATCGACCATGTCGTCAATCTGATCGGCGAACTAGGTGACTTCACTAGTCCGACCACAATCAGCAGCACTGTGGCCGCCATCAAGACGGACATCACCAAGCTGCAGTCACGACCGGACGCCGCTTCAAAGGCATACAAGATGCCGCGCTTCAACATCGGCAAGTTTGACGACTACAACAAGACGGACACGTTGACATGGTGGCAAGGTTTCCTCACGGAAGCATCCTGCCACTCTGTACCGACCGAAGACATGATGAAAGCGCTCTACCTCCAACTCATTGGAGGAGCACAAGCCTGGATGAACCATACGGCGGCCAATCTGAAATGCACCATCGCCCAACTGCACACACACATTCCGTGGAAGCAGTTCGAGCAAATGTGGTTCACTCGATTCATGGTCCGCAATGTTGTAAAGGCGGCCATGAGCGACGTCTACTCCAGCTCACAAGGGAACATGCCAACTCGAGACTGGACGATCAAGTGGCAGAAGATAGTAACCACTCCAGGCTTCGACTTGAGTTTCCCAAACCAACGATCCGGGTTTTTTTCGCAATCGTGCGCAGGACTGCGGACGACACTCGGCAACGAGTATGACTATGCCTCATTCCAGGCTATTCTGGATCGTGCGAACCTGGTCATCCAAACGGATGACAAGGCCGCCAACGAACGACAGTCCCAGCCGCACTATGTGGCTAAGCAAGGCTACCAACGGCCGACACATAACAATGCCGTGATTCCTGACGAATCAATCGATCTCCACGCTGCAGCAGCATCCTCGAGTGATGGAGGAGTTGTCGCAGCGCTCCCGCCGAAGCGTCCCAAGAGAGTTTGGAAGAACAAGGCGACACAAGCGACGACATCGACGGAAACTGGGCAGCAACCATGGACGGCATACAACATTACCAAGGAAGTATTTGACCTCCGTCAACGGTACGGATATTGCCTTTGGTGCAATAGTGTCAACCACACTACGACACAATGCTCGGAAAAGGGCAAGGCACGCGTACCCCGTCCAACTAACTCGGGAAACTGAGTTACGCAAGGAGAGGGATGCGCCTCTCCTCACTCCGCCGGAACCGGTTGCCTTGCTAGCAACCAATATCACTACCGGGGAGCATGCATTAGTCGCTGATTCTCGTGCTACGTACGAGGATTATGCCGCCCAGTTGGTGCCACCATTAGACCAGCCTAGCCACGTGCACTTAGATAGCGTATGTGCAACCTGTACACCGTTGGCAAGTGAACCGGTCAGTTAGCCACTGATTTCCGAGGACTCGACGGCGTGGTCAAGACTTAAGGAGCTTGACCCGCTCACGAGAGAGGACTTCGCTTGGATGCCTCTACCCTCATCCGGAACCTTGGCAAGGCCGCATTGTAACGCCTTGATGGCAAATCTACGCTCCTATTTGCACGCTGCAATACCAGCTCCGTCGACGGACGACGGAGTAGTGGTTGTCGATCTCCGCGCCTATCTCGCGAAGATTGACCGCGAGTATGCCACCCAAAGGTACTCCGAGACCGATGCGCCTTTGCTCTATATCCGCATTCAAATCGGAAAGGCAACTTGCAATGCCTTGATTGATTGCGGAGCATCTCGCAATTTCATGAGCCAAGCCTTTATGGCCCGCGCAGGCCTTGGCCCGCGCGTTCGAAGGAAGACGCAACCTATGCAAGTTACACTCGCGGACTGCCGCATGAAAAAGTCAAACGACCGATGCGTTGACGGCATCCCAGTATACTTTGCGCCCCTTGCGTGCGAGCCGGTGTCTTTTGACATCCTCGACACCAAGCTTGACATGATTCTAGGCATGTCTTGGTTGCATAGCGCCGATCATCCGGTGAACTTTCATGACCGAACCGTTCACGTCCGTGATTGGAACGAAGTGTTAGTCCCATGTTCGGTCGCGACCCTTCACACTTCGATTGCTTCTCACGTGATTTCCGTTGCGAGAATTCTCGACGCCATAGCTCGAAACGACGTCGAGGAGATGGGCCTTGTATTCTTACCTGCCCTCCCCTCGGCGGACGGACCAGCCGCGTCGCCGCCGGACCCGCGTATTACCCACCTCTTGGATGAATATGGAGACGTTTTCGAGGCTCCCACCGGAACGGTTCCAGATCGGCCCATACGTCACGGGATCACTCTCGAGGTGGGTGCCGTCCCTCCGCGTGGATGCATTTACCGCATGAGCGAAGAGGAACTCGAGGTGCTTCGCGCACAACTCGATGATCTTCTCGACAAGGGTTGGATTCGCCCTAGTTGCTCGCCATACGGTGCACCGGTTCTCTTCGTTCGGAAGAAGAACAAGGACCTACGGCTGTGCATTGACTATCGAAAACTTAACGCACAAACCGTTAAGAACGTCAGCCCTTTCCCTGGGATTGATGATCTCCTCGAGCGGTTGGGCGGCGCGACGTACTTCTCGAAGTTCGACTTGAAGTCAGGTTACCACCAGATCGAAATCCAGCCTCAAGATCGGTACAAGACCGCCTTCAAAACGTGGTATGGGCATTTTGAGTGGGTTGTGATGCCATTTGGACTCACCAATGCCCCGACAACTTTCCAGCCATGACAATGGAGTTCCGAGACTTGCTCGATCGTTCCGTCCTCATCTACCTCGATGATATCTTGGTCTATAGTAGGACGCTTGACGAGCACCTCGTACACCTTCGTGTGGTGTTGGATCGTTTGCGAGCAGCCAAGTACAAAGCAAATCGCGACAAGTGCGAATTCGCCAAGCAAGAGCTTGAGTACTTAGGCCACTATGTGACGCCGAAAGGCATTCGTCCCTTAGCGGACAAGATCCAAGCCATCGTGGATTGGTCGGAACCCCGTTGCACGACGGACGTACGCTCTTTCATGGGTTTGGCTGGATACTATCAGCGCTTCGTCGAGTCTTACTCCAAAGTTGCAGCTCCTTTGTCGAGACTTCAGTCCTCGAAGGTACCATTCGAGTTCGACGACACAACTCGTGGCGCGTTCAATACGTTGAAGGCGGCGATGCAAGTCGCACCGGCCCTCCGTATCTATGACCCCACCCTACCCACCCAAGTGACTACGGATGCTTCCGGGTACGGTATTGGTGCGGTGTTGGAACAATGCCACACGGATGGTTGGCACCCGGTCGAGTACTTCTCCCAAAAGGTGCCTCCCATCAACACTCTTGACGACGCTAGGAAGAAAGAGCTACTCGCGTTCGTCACCGTTCTCAAACGGTGGCACCACTTTCTTCTCGGTCGTCGGCGTTTTAAATGGAACACGGATAACAATCCGTTGACCTTCTACAAAACGCAGGACATGGTTACTAGCACGATCGGTCGATGGATGTATTACATCGACCAGTTCGACTTTGAGTCGTGCCACATTCCCGGTCCCGCCAATCGAGCAGCGGACGCCCTCTCACGAGGACCCGATCTTTGTGCCCTCCTGACCACGACGTTCGACCTCGACGACGATCTGCAGCAGCATTTCGTCAACGGCTACAAGTCCGATCCGACGTACTCTGCGCTTTATGTGGACCTATCATCGGATCACCCGCCGGCTGGCCATTATCGTATCTCCGACGGGTTCCTACTTCTCCACACGAGGGGAAACGACTTGTTAGTGGTGCCCCAAGATCGCCTCCGCCAGCATTTTCGACACACCTTGGCGAAATCCACGACGCACGACTTTCGACACACCTTGGCGTGAACTGCACCTTGGCTCGCCTCCGCCAGCATTTTCACTGGACCGACGTCCTTCATGACGTCACGAGGTACGCAGTTTGCCATCGTAACAAAGGTCGATCTACGGTCCCTTATGGCGAACTGAAACCGATGCCGATTCCTCGGGCACCACGCCTCTCCATTGCTATGGATGTTACAGGCCCGTTCCCTCGCGATCGCCTCGGCCATGACGGCATTCTCACGGTCGTTGACTGTTTGAGCAAGTACGCTCATTTTCTTCCATGCAAGTGCCGTGCTTCAGCTCCGAAGCTCGCCCCACTCTTGCATACCGGCTGGATTACATGCCACGGTGTTCCGGAAGATATTGTGAGCGACATATACACTCGCTTCATGTCTGCCTTTTGGACTTCCCTCATGATGGAGTCTGGTTCAACTATGAAGCCGAGTTTCGCACGGCACCCGCAGACGGATGGACAGTCGGAACGAGCGCATCAAACCGCTCAAATGATGTTGCGTACACTCATCCGTACGACCAGAAAGATTGGGTTGACCGGCGTCCCGACATCGAGTTCGCCTAGAACACTTCGGTGCACCCGGCGATCTGCATCACTCCATTCGAATTGCATCACGGTGGAGAGAAAGCCCTAGTCTTTGCCGATCTTCTTCTACCACGGACCGCCGACATAGACGTCGCTTGCTCTCTCGCTTTCGATCGGAAGTACCAGGACTTGCTGATCAAAGCCAGCACGAACATGCAAAAGGCTCAAATACGCATGCAGCAGCAAGCCAACCGACGTCGACTCCCATGTCCTTTCCATGAAGGAGACCTTGTTTGGGTCCTCGCTGAGGAATTCACGCTCGAGCAGGACGTCTCGCACAAACTCCTCCCGAAATGGTTTGGACCATGGAAGGTAACTTCTGCAGCAGGTGACGACCCTGCAGGTCCTTCCTTTGTGAGTGCCATCCCACCGCACCTCCGTGTGCACCCGCTTTTCCATGCATCAAAGCTGGCCATCTACACGCCACCATCCGTAGACGAGTTCCCGGGCAGACGATCACAGGATCCGCCTTCTATGGACGGCCATCAGAAAGTTGACCGTGTCATCAGGCACCGCAAGTTTGGCAACAAGCCAATGCAATACCAAGTCACTTTCAAGCAATGTGACCCGGATGACACCCGTTGGATCTCCCGCGCAGACTTACAGGCATCTGCAACGCGCATCTTCTCCGATTACGAGAACCGGAGACTTGCCAAGGAAAAAGTTCGTCCCACCCGACCCACCTAGGTATCAGACAGACAACTTCTCCCTCGCAGGTAGCTCGGTCTTTTAAGGGGGGGAGCGTGTTACAGTCTGCGACTTCACACGGGCCTTCACAGGCCCGACATACCGGTTTAGGGGTACCCACGCCGGCCTAGCCAAAGGCCAGGCCTTTTCCTCCCGGTAGGCCCTGTTAGGCCACCGGTTGGGCCTCAGCGCCAGCAGATCCAGGTCGGCCCAAACGACATGACCGTTTGGGCCTGGCGGCGCTCTTGAGGCTGCCGCCCGCCGGTCTGGGCTGAACGGACATTTCGACGGTTCA